TTCGTACTACTTCAAGTAGCCCTTCGTACTACTTCAAGTAGCCCTTCGTACTACTGAAGTAGCACTTCGTACTACTTCAAGTAGCCCTTCGTACGACTGGAGTAGCCCTTCGTACTACTGAAGTAGCTCTTAGTTTCAGAAAGGTTGGTGACCCCTGTGTGAGGACCCCTCCCTTCCACCAGGGGTCTGTGTCCTGTTGTCAGGTTGTCTTTGAGGATGGTAATCTGCTGCTGATGAGCCACACCTGGGCCTGCTGGAGTTCAGTTATTTGTTCTTAAATAAATGTCTATTTGATTACTTTTATACTCGTCTTGTCTCCCTCATGTTGCGGCCTTTTGAGCTGGGTCGTGACACCTGGTATATGTGTGTGTGTATATATATATATATATACAGTGGGGAAAAAAAGTATTTAGTCAGCAACCAATTGTGCAAGTTCTCCCACTTAAAAAGATGAGAGGCCTGTACTTTTCATCATAGGTACACTTTAACTATGAGAGACAAAATGAGAAAAAAAAAAATCCAGAAAATCACATTGTCTGACTTTTAAAGAATTTATTTGCAAATTATGGTGGAAAATAAGTATTTGGTCAATAACAAAAGTTCATCTCAATACTTTGTTATATACCCTTTGTTGGCAATGACAGAGGTCAAACGTTTTCTGTAAGTCTTCACAAGCTTTTCACACACTGTTGCTGGTATTTTGGCCCATTCCTCCATGCAGATCTCCTCTAGAGCAGTGATGTTTTGGGGCTGTCGCTGGGCAACATGGACTTTCAACTCCCTCCACAGATTTTCTATGGGGTTGAGATCTGGAGACTGGCTAGGCCACTCCAGGACCTTGAAATGCTTCTTACGAAGCCACTCCTTCGTTGCCCGGGCGGTGTGTTTGGGATCATTGTCATGCTGAAAGACCCAGCCACGTTTCATCTTCAATGCCCTTGCTGATGGAAGGAGGTTTCCACTCAAAATCTCACGATACATGGCCCCATTCGTTCTTTCCTTTACACGGATCAGTCGTCCTGGTCCCCTTGCAGAAAAACAGCCCCAAAGCATGATGTTTCCACCCCCATGCTTCACAGTAGGTATGGTGTTCTTTGGATGTAACTCTGCATTCTTTCTCCTTCAAACACGACGAGTTGAGTTTTTACCAAAAAGTTCTATTTTGGTTTCATCTGACCATATGACATTCTCCCAATCCTCTTCTGGATTATCCAAATGCTCTCTAGCAAACTTCAGACGGGCCTGGACATGTACTGGCTTAAGCAGGGGGACACGTCTGGCACTGCAGGATTTGAGTCCCTGGCGGCGTAGTGTGTTACTGATGGTAGCCTTTGTTACTTTGGTCCCAGCTCTCTGCAGGTCATTCACTAGGTCCCCCCCGTGTGGTTCTGGGATTTTTGTTCACCGTTCTTGTGATCATTTTGACCCCACGGGGTGAGATCTTGCGTGGAGCCCCAGATGGAGGGAGACTATCAGTGGTCTTGTATGTCTTCCATTTTCTAATAATTGCTCCCACAGTTGATTTCTTCACACCAAGCTGCTTACCTATTGCAGATTCAGTCTTCCCAGCCTGGTGCAGGTCTACAATTTTTGGAGTTTGGAGTGTGACTGTTTGAGGTTGTGGACAGGTGTCTTTTATACTGATAACGAGTTCAAACAGGCGCCATTAATACAGGTAACGAGTGGAGGACAGAGGAGCCTCTTAAAGAAGAAGTTACAGGTCTGTGAGAGCCAGAAATCTTGCTTGTTTGTAGGTGACCAAATACTTATTTTACCGAGGAATTTACCAATTAATTCATTAAAAATCCTACAATGTCATTTCCTGGATTCTTTCCCTCCATTCTGTCTCTCATAGTTAAAGTGTACCTATGATGAAAATTACAGGCATCTCTCATCTTTTTAAGTGGGAGAACTTGCACAATTGGTGGCTGACTAAATACTTTTTTTCCCCACTGTATATATATATATATATATATGCACACATACGGCCCTGTTAAAGGTGTCCAAACTGAACCATGGCCCCATTCCTCGTACGTGGTTCAGCAAAGTCGATCAAATATCCTATTAGCCAGCCTAAATTAATGAGATGATTGATGTCAGGCTATGTCGGTTTCTCCAAGGCTGATCCTCTCAAACAGTCTTGTTAATTGGAACCAGACGATCAGGATCAGGATAATTGCGCGTGCCCATCCTACGTCAAAAGGGGGAAGCGTCGATCACCGAAACCATGATTTTCTAACAGTACAATGTCAAATAAAGTCAAAGAAAGAGCCTCTTTTTACTCCGCTGACGAGCAGGAGATGATCATGAACGCATATGAGGAATTCAAGACCATAATCACGGCAAAGTCTAACACCTCCACCGCTGCGAGGGCTAGACAAGAAGCACGCAAAATATCACAGACAAGTTAAATGCGTAAGTGTTGTAAATGTATCAGCTCATTTTAATGCCTCATCACCCCAATCAATCAGATGATATGTCTTTAAATGAGCTGCTGGCAGTAGGCTTAATGAATGCATCATCCAATGAGATCTATAGCGACAATAATGATCTCAACTCTTTCAGAATAAGATAAAAACAAGCCCAAAGAGCATCTACTGATCCTCATTAATATGAGGATATATGTACTGTATGCCCTCATGTATCATGTACCATATATGTGTATATACATGTATGTGTAGATCACCATATAGAACTAGTTTGAATATGTGTGTGTGAATCTGTGTGTGGGCGGATCAGTGTGTGTGTGTGTATTATTCATCATCAGACATTCAATCAACTGAAGCAGTGAAGATAAATAGTGTGTGATTCTCTCTGTTCTTATCATGGGTCCACCTTCATCATGTTCTACAGTAATGATATGCTGGTGTACTAATAACACTGTCATATCATTATGAGTGCTTTAACCCTCATGTATGCAACGCAGCCATCAAGAGGACATGGGAGCAAGTAAACACTAACACACACACATTACTCAGAATGCTGAGTCAGTACAATATGTGCCATGGTGATGTAATGAACACATCCATAAGTTTATTAAGCGCCTAATGAACTTTACCAACAGCACAGCATGCAGCGGCTTTCCCCATGTTCTCCGCATCGCCAACACTGTACAACAATGTACCACTCGCAGAACAGCTCAAGGCTGCATCCAGCATCGGGGACTGTGGTGGAACAGAGACTGTAAGCAAGCAGGTTTGGTGAATCAGTGGTCCTAGCTTGCAAGTTAAATCATTGGTTAATCACGTTAATGCACAATCGCAAACAAGTGCTCTCAAAGCCGCGTGTTTTGATCCCCAGTAATGCCCAGGATGCTATATGCTATAGCTAGCGAGACTACATGAGTATAATTCCACTCTACGATGACTGATTTCATGACGGAAGCAGAAATGGAAGCACCTGCTACTCCCGCAACAAACTACGGTGGTGACGAAGACCAACACCCGAGGATCGCTAGCGAGTTAGTGAGCTGAGGAAGTGTTGACAGTTGTGAGATTTTGTTGATTTGAGTCATCTTAGCTATAATCATTAGCTAACTTAACGTTAGCTAGCCACCACACCATAGGATTGACAGGAGCCGCGAGAGCGCAGCATTAGGGTTAGCATTAGGGTTAGCATTAGTGTTAGCATTAGGGAAATCCTTCCCAGCTGTGCGCAAGCTGTGTGTGAAGCTCAACACACCTCTACCTGCCTCAGCGGCCTGTGAAAGGCTGTTTAGCATCAGGACTAGTCTTCAGCCCAAGAAGAGCGAGACGGAATTCTCGCAATTTTGAAAACCAACTTCTTTTGAAGATGAACAGGACATTTTTCAGTCTCAAGTAATGACTGGGTTGTTACTTTCGGTGCTGCTTTAGCATTGATCATGTTTTGATATTTGAGTCATTTTGTGGATGATCAGATGGAGTTATGATGGTAGCAGTCGCCCAATTGCAGATTCAGCTTGAGCAAAACCTTTGTGTTCAAATCAGGCCCATAGGAGTTTACAAGGCAGGCGTCCTTTCTCACAACACTGACCTGATGCATCAAGTGGATATTTTCTGCTGAACACAATATTATGCATTTGCCCTCTACATCCTCTAGTCGGAATGAGCATACTTATAAACGTACTGTTACAACTCCTTCATAGTGTCATATTGCTTTTCGGAGAATTATGATAAGTTCATAGTAGATGCAAAAGTATACTTATGTACAATATATTATGTTGAACATTGTTGCTCCTGGATGGATCACAGCCAACCCAATTATGTTCAACACAGCTCCATGTCCTTGGTCATGGTGCCACAGCACTTAAAAGAATAAACTTCATAATTCTCATGTTAGACATGTTGGAGTGTTTTGCGAAATTGTGATGCCCCTACATGGAAGGCCATGGTTATTAGGTGTTAACAAGCACCTTAAAAACAACAAATAAAAGTTTAGAAAAACAAAAAATGAAATCGAGAGTGAAATAGGGCGCTAGGTCTCTTGTAAGAGTGACCTGTTGCACAGACAAGTTTCTGTCACACACCCTCTGCTGCACAGCCGTGCAGGGGCAGGGGGGTGCATACACACATACATAGACACACACACACACACACACTCACGTACGTGAGGTATGCACAGGTGCACTCATTGGACCGCGTCTGCATTCCAGCACTGACGCCATCATGTCTATGCACTCACTTTGACCTGGATGAACAGTATGGTCATCCAGGAATGACAAAACTTTAAGGGGGGGTTACCATGACACTGTCATGGCCCACGGAGGCACCAAGAAAGGGGGAGAATAAATATTCTCGGTTTTCAAGGATCAGGAGCTGAGTCGGGGGAGAAGCCCACCAGGTTGGAACCTGCGCTGGGTTAATCTTTAACTTTCTTCTCTGGACATTTGGAAATAGCCTGCTCACTAAGTAGGGTTTTTTTTAAAGACTTTGTTGATTTTAATCTTTTTATGGTGATCACTTTTTCTCTGTATTTGGACCAAGGGAATATACTTTGAATTGGACAAAAATAAATAAGGAACTTTTTTTAACTTTTTCCGACCGACTCTTTTCTTCAACTGTTTTGGGAACTCAGAGAGGAGAGGGCTTCTCGGAGAGACAGCCCAGCCCCTGCGGTAAGTCTGCAGCGATCCAGAACGGCGCACAACTGATTGCATACTTTATGCGCACACACATCTTCACATTCTAGCATTCGTTTTCTATAGTTAAGAGAAACCCGGGGAAGTCCCGCTTTATTTTGAAAGAGCTTTATATCTGTTGAGCTCTGAGCAGGGACGGATCAATTTAAATTGAATATAAAATAAATAAATTAAATAAAAGAATTTATAAGACCGACGGCTATTCGAGCGACCGGTTATACTGTTTAGTATATCACTGTTTAGCTATTCGGAAAAGAAAGCAAACGGGCTATCGATACTGGGCTCGTGTTGGCGATTTATTACCATTTAGGGAAAATCAGCTACCGGTCCGAGGTTCTCTTAAGCGGAGGCATTGAGGCAAATCAGGGAGGGGTGAGCTATCGGCCACGCTCTCACATTTGGCCAGGTGAGCGACTCACATAGAGAGAGTACTGGAATCCGCTATCTCTCCCCCTTCTCGCAGCCTCTCGTTGCAATCAGGGGCGCTCACAGGGAGTGACCGGACAGCGGGGCACAAGTGCCGTGGATCCGTGGTCACTCCGACGGCAGCTCGGGTCTGTCCGTCGCTGGCAAGGGTCCTCTCAGTTCACGCATCCACAGCTGAGAGCCCCTTGTTCCACTTTTGTTCGTTTCAAACAAAAGGCCTCTTATTTATTTAGTACTTCTTGTTTCTTGATAAAATTAAAACATTTTGATAAGAAATAATTTGGAATAAATTAAATTAAAAAAAATTAAAAAAAAAAAAAATTTTAATTAAAATTTTTTTTTTGTTATTTTGATTAAAAATTAAAATTAAGAAAGCGTGCAGGGGCACCGCGCGCTACACTCAAAATTCTGACCCTTTGCTTTTTTATTAACAGCATTTACTTGTACTTTTACTTTCAATACTTAAGTACATTTAATATCAGAAAATTACTTTTGATACTTAAGTACAATAAATATCAGATACTTTAAGACTTTTACTCAAGTAGTATTCTAATAGGTGACTTTTACTTTTACTGGAGTAGTTTTCCAGTAAGGTATCTTTACTTTTACTCAAGTATGGCTTTTGGGTACTTTATACACCACTGGACAACACTGATGGAGTACAAATACTCTGTACCTTTAATGGAGTCTGGTGTAAAAACTGAGTCTCACAAAAACATTTATGTTTGTCACCAACAGAACAGACTAACTTCAGTCTCTTCATGTCGGAGGAACTCGGGACAGTTTAGGTGAGTTTGTTTCGCTGTCCGGTGCCTCCAGGTTGTCGGTGGTGGGTAGCAGAGTGCAGAGGGTGCAGCTGGTTTGTCAGTGCAACACCTCTCTGTCAGCTGGTCCGGGGCGGGTGGGGTAGATATGAAGCTGAGGGAGGTCGATGCCGTCGTTGTAAAGATCCTCTTGTTTCTGTAAACCATGAAGTTTTAACAGCAGCTCACGGATGAAGAACTGATGGGAGGAGATGCACAGAGGAGGAGGAGTTAGCCCTACAGGCTGGGCTGTTGATCACAAAGTGTCATCATCATGTCTTATTCGTGCTCACACCTTGTGTTACTAAGTTTAACTGTGGGGGGGGTGGGGGTGTTACCTCCATGTAGACACCAACAACTAACCCTAACCCACCAACCAGCCACAATAACCTTCAGTGCTACTTTGTACGTGTTATAGAAGTCACACAAACAAAACGGTTCATAAAAGTGATTTCATGGAGCTGTATTCATTTACATTACAGTCATCTAGCAGACGCTGTTATCCAAACTTACAATCAGTGTATTCATCTAGCAAACCACACTGTTTACCACAACAGTATGAACCAAGACGGCGACAGACAAAAACCAAACGTTCATTCATCATTCAGTCAGTTTCATCTGTGTTTTACTTTATCTTCTGTTCATAATCAGTTTTTCTTGACTGAGTCAGATATGAAGTCAACACTAAAACTGCCCTGAGATCCGTTTTACAGTCATGAGGACCAGAGAGTCAATGTTCACTTATTTAATTCCATTTCCTGTCTTTACATTTGTGTTTCTTGTACATTTGGTTCTCACCTCTGTATTGTTGTTACAGGAGTGACAGAGGTCCTGAAAAGACAGAGAAAGACACATGAGACACTGAGAGGACAGACAGACAGATGAGAGACAGACATATATTTACCTGAAGCCTCTGAGTTCTCTCCTCATCCGTCCTTAAGTCCAGCAGTTCGTCAATGTTCACGTCCTCCGGCATCTCCTGCTCCTGAACACACATTTACATCCCTTTCACTTGTTATACAATATTATATATTAAATATATTATATAATAATAAATATATTATTCATTATGTTAAAGTAATATAATAAATAATGAGATAATATGTTGTTATAGATGTAAAAAATGTTTTAAATAATGTTTATTTAATATTATATAATGTTGAAATAATTATATTAAGAGTAATGTTATATAATTAGAAAAGTTTAAAAAAACAATGTTAAGATTCATACTTAAAATAAAGTTAATACAGTGTCACATAAAATAATAAAATAATGTTTTTATACAATGTTAGAATAAAGTTAAAACAATCTGAATATTGTGTTAAAATAATGTTTAATATAATAAGTAATATAATATTAATATAATGTTTGAAGAATTTCAATACATGATATTAAAATGATGCTGTTTTGATGATGATATTTTGTTGTGTTAAAGAAACATTTAGAAAAACTAGTGCTGTGCGCGTTATCGCGGTAACGCGTTCATTAATTAACATTAATTAACGCAGTTTTTTTTATTTGTTGTTAAGCGGACATTTTTAACACAAGAACCGGGCAGCGAGAGGTGAACAGCTGTTTGTGTGGCGTCTCTTCCTGCTGCTGCTGCCAACCCCCCTGGCACGCCCGGTCAGGAACCCCCCATAACTCCGTCACTGGCGGTCCCTCCGGTCTCACACACACATGCGCGCGATCTTCTCGTTACAGGATCAAACGTGACAATATCAAAATACATATTGTCGTGTTTTTAAATGAACATATAAGCACGAGAGAACAAACTGCTCTTAACTCAACTCTGTATGAGCATAACTTCCTCATGCAGGTTACTGCCACGGTACAGACTACAGGTTCCATGCTTCACCTACATTCCCCTGGGTCCTAAGTCCCTCCATGTACAGCTTCTTATCACCCTCTATGTACCAACGTACATTTATAACAAATACCACACATATTACGGTAATCAGCGTTGCATATGTGTCTGACCACAATACCAAAGAAAGCAAAAAAGAAATGATTCATTTAAATTATTTTTATCGAGTTTTTAAAGTGTTTTGTTTGTAATATGTATACCGGTAATAAGCATCATTTAGTTATCACTACTATGAATTTAACAAACAAAAACATGACGTAGATAGGTTTGCAGTTTTCAAGGTGTATATTTAAATTGCATCTCTTACACACATGAAGATGAAGTTATGAACACCGGCTGAATACCTATGATCAGAATCATTATAACTGTGTTATAACTGCTGCTGTGTAAAGGGAATACTGCTGCTAACAACAACCTGATGTGTTTAAAGTACAAACCAAATGTTATTGACCTTTAGTTCATATAGCAGTACTTTCAAAATAAAAGTGCTCAATACACTACTTTTGAATACATTATTGAACTTTGCGCATAACAATGCGATTAATCGCGATTAAAAATTTGAATCGTTGTCCAGCATTAAGAAAAACCGTTTGGAGGAAATAAGTCCTAATGAAACCAACACAAATATAAAATATATAAGTATGGACCCCCCCACCCCGTCCAACCCACCGACATTATCACACAAACATTGATGTCTTCATCAATCAATACGTCTGATAGCTGCATCCTCACATCTGTGTCTTCCTCATGGTGATCCGACCTCTGACCTCTTTACTGATGTGATGATGAGTCTGTCTGACAAGCTGTCTTAAGTAACGTGTGTGTGTCTGTCTGTCTGTCTGTGTGCGTGCATGTGCATGTCTGTGTGTGCGTGTGTGTGTATGTCCAGTTTGGGTCTCTGACAGGAAATGAGCCAAAGGGGCCGATCTGATTATCTATTTATCAACAAACACATACACTAAATAATTTCTCCCCCCTTAAATCTGTCTAATATGTATAAGTGAATGTGTGGGGGTGTGTCATCAATCTCCCCTCTAATGCTGCTTTTCCCGTCTCTCACTCATCAATAAAAGCCTCCCTGGAGGTTCAGACACATAAAGTGGACCCTCAGTTCTTTAAAGAGACTCCAGGAGAGAATAAGGTGAGGCTTCAAGATTCAAGACTTTATCAGCACATAAGTGAGTGTCATCAGTGTAGAGATACAGAGCAGAGTGCCATCAGTGTAGAGATATAGAGCAGAGTGCCATCAGTGTAGAGATACAGAGCAGAGTGCCATCAGTGTAGAGATACAGAGCAGAGTGCCATCAGTGTAGAGATACAGAGCAGAGTGCCATCAGTGTAGAGATACAGAGCAGAGTATCCCCAACAGTTGAAAAACATGTTGTTTTTCAGTGGTACTTGTAGTTTGCAGTGGTACTTGTAGTAGTGTTTGCAGTAGTACTTGTAGTAGTGTTTGCAGTAGTACTTGTAGTTTGCAGTAGTACTGCAGTACTCACACGGCCCCTGTACAGCTCATCCAGTTCACAGTCGATCCACTTCTCCACGTCCAGCCTCCTCTGCAGCTCTTTCCGGTTGTACTTCACGGTGATCCTGGTCTGACGGTTCTGACCACCGGCCCGGCTCGATGACGGACTATTATTCACCTTATTCATCCGCCGACCCACCCGGTGAGCTGCCATCAGGACCGGTCACACCTGAACCCAGACGGTCCGCCTCCCAAACAAATCCCCAAAACCGGATCAAATATTCAGATTATAAAATATTTTAAAAAACGATAGACAAAAATAAAAAGTATAAAGAATTGCAGTAAGAAATACTACGAGTGGGTACTACTACTACTGCTACTACTAATACTACTACTAATAATAATAAAACAAATAGAAATAAAATCCCAAATTCTCTCGTTTCGTCTCGTTGTAGAAACCTTACTCTCTTTTGTGATTTTAGAAAATGGGAATAAATGAATGAATGAATTCTGATGAAGCTTTGAAAATAGAAAATAATAGAAAAATTCGCGTGAGCCGGTGGACTGTCGAAGCTGCGCGTGCAGACGGATAGAAACAGAGCAGGGCGGCACCACGCGACTGGTGATGCCTTCAGGGGCTGTTGGATAAATGAGATTCAGACAGAGATTGTGAACGGAAACATTAAGGAAAACAGATTCCTGTGAGTGTGTGTATGCGTGTGTATTGGTATTGTGTGCGTGTGTTCTTATTTTTTGTAAATGTAATAAAACCTTTTGTTGTGTTTTGTTGTGTTTGTTTCTCAATCTGATTTAATAATTGATTAGTAATTATATAATAATAATAATTATAATTATATTATTCTCATTGTATTGTTTGTGTTCTCTTAGAAACTACCGGAAGATTATTTCATATCAAATTGTCAATGAAGGAAACTAATCTAAAGTGCAGTAAAACAGCAACACTTTTATTTGATACTGACATTTCCGAGGAGAACAAGAATGCAGCATAAGAGGATCCTGCTGGGTCCTAGTGCTCCTCAGGTTCATGTACATTAGATAGAGAATATATGAGCAGCAGCGACACCTGATGTGAACAGATGAACTGCAGCCTGAAGGAGGCCTTCTGAATATATAATACATATACAGTGTACTTCATATAACTATATGAATAATATAATGTATTTATTAATATAAACAATACTTAAATTTAATTATTATCATAAATCAATTTTATTAATAATTAAATTATGGATTATCTTGACAACATTGCACTGAATGTTTTAAACACGAGACGTGATGACACAGCTATGTGGGCGTGGCTACAGTGACCTCACCTGTCGCTCAGACGTGTTGGTGACGCAGTTCGCTGGGCGTGGCTACAGTGACCTCACCTGTCGCTCAGGTAATTGTATCTGCGACAACAAAAAGCCACCAAATGAGGAAGTGCGCGCGGGGCCGAGACACCTTTTCTTTGTCGAGTTTTAAAAGAGTTTCAAACAAAAGATGGACCGCTCGAGTCTCTTGGTCTGCGTCCTGGTCTGTACCGGTCTGGCTCTGGACTGTGACTGGGACCCGTCCATTGATCCGGACCAGAGTCTGGTCCACCTGAACGCCTCCATGGTGAGCCGGGACAAGATCTCGGAGGTTCCCGACCTGGAGCAGTGCCAGGCGGAGTGCTGCATCGACCCGGACTGTGACCTGGCCCTGGTCCGGTTCCCAGCGGACGGACTGCCGCAGTGCCTGCGGGTCAACTGTCTGGTCCAGGACCGGGACGTGTGCGTCCTCGAACCCGGAACACAGTCCAAGATTTACCGCAAGAAGGGTAGGAGAGAGGGCGGTGGAAAGCTGCAGAAGGACGAGGACAAGCTGCGCGTCGTACCGCTGAATGTTCCATGGAAATCATTGAGCAACGAGACCGAGAACCGTAAGAGAATCTAATCAATGAGTCTGATTATCGATTATTAAGAGAATCGAATCAATGAGTGTTTATTGATTAATAGAATCTAATCAATGAGTCTGATTATCGATTATTAATAGAATCTAATCAATGAGTCTGATTATCGATTATTATGTGTGTGTGTGTGTGTGTATGTATGTATGTATGTGTACATACATACATACATACATACATATGTACGTGTATATATGTATATATAGTGTGTATATCTGTGTGTACCCTGCAGACTCCGCTATTAGTAGAAGAGTAGAGAGACAGACAACAGAACAGACGGTCACGGGTGTAGTGTGAAAGGTAAATCAAATGTCAGGAGCAGAAGGCGAGGAGCTAGCCCCTCAAAGGATCATCATCTGTTGTCTGGAAGTTTTTTGGATTTAGGCCAAGTGATGTTAACCAAGAACAAATCATATGCACAGAGTGCGTTAGAGTTGTGTCTGCGCCGCATAGCAATACTACTAACTTGTTCAACCACCTGAAAAATCACCACAAACCACAGTACGATGAATGCATTAAGGCCAAAGCTAACGTTACCTCACTGAATCTCCGTCC